ACAGTAAACACAAGGGAGAGCAAATAAAACTTCCAGACCCTTCCCCGATCAAAGTAAAGCTATTAAGGACACAGACAACAACCAGAATGAATCTTTGTAAGAGCACTTTAAGGAAATTCTAGTAAATAATAAAATGGCTGTGGGGACGTAAAAAATATGGCTTTCCCTGAACTACGGAATTCCGCAGGAAAGACAGATTGTTGCTGATACTCGAAACGTCACTTTGAAGATGAAGGGGCCGAAGCATTCTGACCCACACAGAAATAAGTCTCCGAAATAGAACTCAGGAGGGGAAATAAAATAGATTTAGAGAATATATAGGGGAGACTAATGTCAATAATTGGAATTCCAGAATAATAAAAAGGATACGGGTGAAACAATCATTTTGTACACAATAGATGAACTTTTCCCAGCTGGGAACACAAAAGCAGACATAGCTACAGATTGAAGAAGCTCACCAGTGTTCAATCCAGTATGGGGTAACGTGACGATAGCAATGTGAGAGATCAGAAAGGAGACTTCAGGGACGGTACATTTATATTAGGGGGGGGGAGGGCGGTGCCTATTTGGGAAAAGGAGATGAGAATAGTTGTGCCAGGCGCAGAATGCAATCAGCGTTTCTGAATTGTACAGTAGGAATTGTTGCACGGCCACAACAAAATGCATGCATGAACTAGAAGTGGCTCATGTCTTGAAGAACTCTCGGTGGCTCTGTGGGGTCGGCATTGGTTTGCTAACCACCAGGCTAGCAGTTCAAACTTACGTGCCGCCCTGAGAGGACAAAGATGAGATTGTTTGCTCCTGTGGAGATTGACATTCTAGCAACTGCAGGGAGCATGTCTCTGCCGTCTTAGGGGCTTGCTATGAATCAGAACCGACTTGATGGCAGTGGGGCTCAGGGGTTAATATCTTGGATTCTAATAATTTTATTCGTCAGTAACATTTTTTAAGAATCATTTTGTTTTGGGAGCTTGTACAGCTCTTATCACAATCCTCACATCCATCCATTGTATCAAGCACATTTGTACATCTGTTGGCATCATCATTTTCAAACATTTTCTTTCTACCCGCGCCCTTAGTATCAGCTCATTTGTCCCTCTCCCTTGTTCCTACCCTCATGAACCCTTGATCATTTATTGTTTTTCCCCATGTCTTACCCTGACCGATGTCTCCTTCCACCCACTTTTCTGTGGCCCAACCCATTTGGAGGGCGTTAGAAGTAGATTTTGTGATTGATTACCCCTTCTTCCCCACCTTCCCTTTCAACTCCTGGTATCACGACTCTCATTATTGGTCCTGAGGGATTTATCTGTCCTGGATTCCCTATCTTTTCCAGCTCTTATGTGTACCCGTGTGCCTGCTCTGGTCTAGCCGGATTTGTAAAAAGAATAGTGGGGGAGGGAGGGGGGCCGGAGGGGAAGAAGCATTAAAGAACTAGAGGAAAGTTATATGTTTCATCATTGCTCTACTGCAGACTGACTGGCTGGTGTCTTCCTTGTGACCCCTCTGTAAGGGGATGTCCAATTGTCTACAGATCATTACATTTTTATTGAATAATATGTGGAGTATACATGGAGCTCCTAATCGAAGGTTCACAGGTCGCAACCCCAAGCTGCTCTGCAGGAGGAAGATGAGGCTTTGGACCCCATAAAGAGCCATAGTCTCAGAAACCCACAGGGGCAGCTCTCCCGTAG